ACGGTCTGGCAATCACCTAAATTTATCCCATTAATTATAACACCAGCACCACTGCTGGAGATCAGGGAGTTGCCATTGAGCAGAGAGGCGGTGAGGAAGCCGCTGGACCCGTTGAGGATGAGCTGGCCTCCAGTGCTGGACGGGACCGCAGAGACAGAGATGATGGAAGCTGTGGAGCCGGCAGCCTCGTCGGGTTTGTCGGGAGTGTCGTCCATCGCACTCGCCTCATCCTCAGTGCTGTGGTTCCCATCGGACTCACTGAAATGGTCAAATATAAAGGACAGAAGCACACACAGACAAATGAGTTTTTAATGTTACAAGAAATGAACGAAAATACACAATTAGATCAACTCACAAATAAAACAAAACCTTAAGACTGAAAAATGTTTGATTCAAAAAGTAGCTACTTGTAAGACTGCAGCTAATAATTATATATTCATTATTTTTATAAAATTCAGCCCACAATTTTCAGTCTAACCAAAAAGAGGAAAAAGCCTCAACTCTTTTACAACAGAATTTAAAGTCAGTGAATATGTGTCTGTTTGGAAAGAGCTCAAATTATTAATCAATAATCAGACTTGCTGTTGGTTAATTTTCTGTTAAACTAACTAGGTAAATAATTAACTAAGCAGCCAGATAAAGAGGCAAACACTCCTCTCCAGCACCAGAGCCAAGGAGTGTGATTCCCCCTGAATTTTGAATCCACGGTCCACCGCCCAAAAGGAGAGGTGTGCACATCAGGATAACCCACAATATCCAGAATCGAATTCACTGCTGCCCCATAATGGACTGGTTCTCATAGCACTCTTCTACTTAAGCGCTGTTTTTTTAAAAGTTATTTCTATCCAACTTCACACACATTCATACTGCGATGGATGCATCTGAGAGCAACTTGGGGTTAATATCTTGCCCAAGGATATTTGGCATGCAGACGGGAGTAAACAAGGAGTGAACCACCAACCTTCCGATTAGCAGGTGACCTGCTACAACAATAGAGAGAAAACCCCAAGAATCAGACAATCCTCTATGAGCACTTGGTGACAGTGGGAAGGAAAAACTCCCTTTTAACAGGAAGAAACCTCCGGCAGAATCAGGCTCAGGGAGTGACGGCCATCTGCCACAACTGATTGTGGTGAGAGAAGGCAGGACAGAAGACACACTATGGAAACAGCCAAAGATTAAAAATAACCAGTAATTAAATGCAGAGTGAAGAAGAAACGCTCAGTGCAGCCCAAGATTATTGCAGTGCAACTAAGGGAGGATTCACAATCACCTGAGCCAGCCCTAACTATATGCTTCATCAACAAGGAAAGTTTCAAGCCTACTTTTAAAAATAGAAGAGGGACCTCCACATCAGCACCGGGGTAGGAGTGTAAAAGAAGTCGAAACAGGAAAGAGAGAAATCCCAAAGTCTTCTTCAGAAAGTTTCATCTGTCTCAGCTGCTGGAGCATCTCCCTCTCTGTAATGTGGGAGTTTCTGAGCTCCTGCACCAGTACGTCACTGAACACAGTTTAGAGGTGCCCGACAAGCAGAAACGACACCAGGACGTGGCAGTTGTGATGTCACTTTTGGCGCGTGCTGCAATTTGTTGTGGTGCCAATGGCGAGTATAAACCGGCTATTAAGGGACTTAGGATGAATCTCATCCATCCTCCAGGGCCAGGCCGCTAGAGACTAATCAACTATTCATTACAACTATAAATAGATAAATAGATGTATTTGTCCCCACGGGGAAGTCACCTGACCTTTGCAGACACCTCAAATAAAACAATCCCATCAACATAAGACAAGCACACGTTAAACACTCTTTCACTCTTCCTGTATCGTAGGGATGACTTTGGCCACACGAACTGAGCAGGCTGTGTGTTGCTCATGTTCAGACGTTTGATGGCTCGAGGAATAAAAGATAGTCGACCCATTTGTGAACAAAACGGGACAATGACGCCATGCAGATGGTAAAAAAAAATCTAATTTAAGCTCTGTGTATATAATATTACAGGATTCAAATCTATTAGACTGAGCAAGCAACCTTCATCGTACCAAGTAACACTCTCTTTTCTTCTAACTGCACTCTGCTGTTTCCATTACCATCATGTGAAACTTTAAATGTGATATAAATGCATTATTTAAGATTCAATATTACTAGAATACTAAAAAAAACAAAAAAACAAAGCAAACCACTTTCCAAAAGCACATCCAATCAGCAATATACTGTCACTCTTAAATATGTTAAATATTTCTAATTCAAAACTAGGATGCCTGCAAGTTTTAAAGTTTGCCTCAGCAGGATGTTTGATTTTAAAGGGAGAGTAGCCTCCACTTTAAGGTGCAGAAATCATTTTGTATCCGTCCGGAAATCCTAACATAATCAAAGCGTTCTTCTAATGCTGACGTTCTCCAACCGTTTCTGGCATGCCTCCTTTAGAAGAAGCTACTTTCAGCTGATCCCTTATTAACAAAGGGTCGCCACAGCAGGTAGCTGCACGTTTGATTTGACTGCACTGTACAGCGACTTTGTCGTTTCAACTGAGGGAATGCAGGTTAAATATTTGCTAACAGGCTCATTTACACTAATGTTTACTGGTGATCTTTGTTCCTGTGAATTAAGGCAAAAATACTTATTGGTGCTGTTTTAGAGACTTTATAATACAGTAGTCAGTTACGGACTCTAAAAACCTTTATAAATGCAACATCAGGATTATCACAAAAAGTGGGGCTAGAAGTTGCTGTATGATCACCTACCTACCTACTGACATTAATCCTAATTTTTAAGTTTTAGTGCATCAGGAGGTTCTGAGGCTTTGTTTTTTTAAGACTGACATTAATCAGACACGATGAGTTGCGTGTCCCAGTTTTAAAACGGAATCTAACCGAATCTTTTCTAAAGAAACTAAACTAAAATAAGCAAAAACTCTGTGGAAATGTAACTGAAACTAAGATGAATTGATAATAAAACTTCTAAATAAGCTGGAACATGTTCTTATCAGTTGGATAAATTTGGTGATATGTGGTTAATGTGTGAAAATAAAGCATCCTGGTGGCCCCAGTCTGCCAGACCGTGGGGTTTGATACAGCACAGCAAACTTATCTTTCTTATCTTTTCACAAACTTCCCCTCCCACTGCTTGCAGAAATCTTCATTTTAAAACTGTGATTTCAGCCTCCCCCCACACTCCCACCCTTGCCTTAGTTTACGCTCTTTTCCTCCCCTAACCTCGGTCACCCTGTGGCTCTGCAGGATGCGGTGCAGGGTTTCAGGAAACTTGAGCCACAGTGGGCGCCTAGATCTCACATTTCATAACAAAGCAACATGCTCTTGGTGTCAGACATGTGTGGCCTCACTGCTGTCAGAAGTCACCTCCTGTTCATCTTCCTACTTCGTGCCATTTCTGAGTTTTGCCACACTGATTTGTGCACTCCTGCAGGCAGCCCTCTGTAGGTCTGCGCGCTTTTTAATTGGTAAGCTTTTATGTGCTGCTTTCAGTGACTTTTCTGATAAGCCCTCGCTATAAGAGACAAAGTAAAGAAAAAAAGCTTCGTTCAGATAAACACAGGACAGCTAAAAAACAGCAGCTGCTGCCGCTCAGGCTGTGACTCCTTGCTTGCTACCAAACTTAGAGCGCAAACAGAGATAAAGGCGACAGCTGGATTGTGTTTCCAGTGTTGTGGGTCTTGCCTTTTGCTGTGGGTCCCGGACGGGGTCCTGTCCCTCTGCCTGCGGTTCTTGAACCAGTTGCTGACCTGCGTGAGGGATAGCCCGGTGATTTTGGCCAGGTTTTTCTTCTCGTCCGGAGTCGGATACCTGTTGCTCTTGTAGCACTCTTTCAGGGCATTGCGGGACTTCTCTTTGAAGCAGTACACGGTCTCTTCTCCGTCCCAGATGGTTTTGGGTAGGGGGAACTTCTTTCTGAGCCGGTACTTGTCCACTGCGCCCAGGCTACGGCCCCGGGACCTCTCCGCCTCCTTGTAGCGGGCTTTGAGGTACAGGTCCTGCAGGAACCCGTGGTTAGACGGGTGGAAGTTGTGGCTTTCCAGGATGGCGTACAGCTCCTTGAATTCCTCCCGGTGGAAAGCCACCAGTGCCTGGGCCTTTAGCAGGGTCTCGTTGCCACGTAGCAGCTCGGACGAAGGAGGTATAGTGGAGAGAAATCTCCACAGGCGATCCACATTGCCCGCCTGCAGAAGGGCCTCGCACAGACATGAGACCTGGTCAGTGGAAAAACTCAGCGCCGACTTTTGGAAACTTTGGAGCAGTTGTTCCGAAATTTGGAGCGGATCTTTCTCTTCTTTGGTCTCCGACCCCGCTGGCTCCCCTGTGCTGTTCTCAGATTGTTCTGTGGACTCCAAAGACAAGGAAGCCATTTTCACTTTAACTTTTTTTTCCACCCGTAGTTCCTCCTCCTCCTCCTCCTCGCTCCCTCCCTCTGCAGCGCCGTCCTCTCTCCCATCCTCCAAACCGCGAGCGTGCTCGATGAACAACGGCGGCCACGCCCCTTTGTTCTTCAAGCCGCACAGACATCGGAGGGAAAGCAAGAGCGGTTGCTTCTGATTATCAAATAATCCGATGCAAAGACTGATACGGAGCATTTACATAATTTTTTT